ATGGGGTGGTGGCCAGACCCACAGCCCCTCTGGATCCATCCTGTCCCATCCCATTCCATCCCATCCTAGGCATCCATGTGCCAGGACCCACTTTAAACTTCATGATGAGGTGGGTGAAGTGGAACTCGCCCTCCAGATCCAGGCGGATGCTGACATGCTCCACACCTGGGAGACAGAGACAGAGATGCCTAAGGCTAGGGGAGACCCCCGTGGCCACGCAGACCCATAGCACATGCACATGGGGCAACCCCACTGCCACCTCACCATTCTCTGACTGCCACCAGGTCCGTTGGTCATGGGGGCTGCTTAGGTAGATGACATTCTCTATGCGGTGGCTCTCAGGCAGGGACGGGTCACGTGAGTCACAGGTGAAACATTTCTCCGAGTCCTGTGCCAGGGAGTGGCACCATCAGGAATAGGTGACTGGAGGCTGCACCAGTGCCTGGCTCTGTGGGTCTATGCAGGAGCCATTCTGGGGCTGGGTGGGCTCACCTGGAGGTGGCTGACGATGCAGTACTCCTGGGGCCCATCCAGCCCACAGGTAGAGGTGGCACTCAGGCGGGTGGCTCGCCCCACCAGCAGGTTCCCAGTGGCTGGGTAGCAGCTGCCACGGGCGCAGCCATGGTTCAGTTCAGGTGCCTGGGCACCTCCTGCCACCAGTCCCCCCACTGCAGAGAGCATGAGGGCATGGGCTGGGGGCTGCGCTGGGGCGCCTGGGCACCCCCTGCTCCTCCACGCACCCACCCCACCCCCAGCTGTCCCATCCCGTCCCATCCCTGCATCCCGACCCACTGATGCAGCATGAAGCTCCATGATCCGGAAAGGTGCTGGCAGCAGCGCTGCGGCCGCGTGACCAGGGGCAGGGAGCAGGGTGAGTGGGGGGCTGGGCTGCCTGTGCTCCTGGGGGCCTGGGCAGCCCCAGGGTGCTGACAAGTGCCGGGGGGGAGTCAGGAGCCAGGTCAGGCGCTTGCTAATCCCGACAGGGCTTAGTGCAGCCTGGATTCCCTGCTAAATTTTGTCGCTGCCAGGCAGGGAGTGCCGCCATTGCCACCACCTTCACTGCCCAGCACCCTCCACCCCAGACTGGGGTCCCTGAACCACCACAGCTCCCAGCACTGTGGTTATGCAGGGTGCCCCCAAGGCCTTGCTTACCCAGGAGGAGAGCAAGTGCCAAGAGGTCCATGGGCAACCACGGGATCTGCCTGGTGGAACACGGAGATGGCACTGCAGTAGGGTGCAGGGTATGGCATGGGGTGCAGGGCAGCTGATGTCCTCTCCTGCCTCTACCACGACCGTGCAGTCCAGGATGCACCCCCCAGCACTGGCATGATGGTGCTTTCCGGGGACAACACGAGGAATCAGGGGCAGTTGGGTCTGAAAGTCCTCTGAGATGACATGCAGTGCCCACCTGAGCAGCTCTGGGGGACTGTCACACACACACCCAGGCACACAGCCATGCTATGCCCCACCAGAGCTGGTACAAACTGTGCCATGCCCCATCCTGCCTGGCTCAGAACGGATCTATCCTTTTGGGGGTCGCTAGTGCCCCCGGGGGGTACCAGCACCGGGCCAGGGCCAGCATGGGAAGGGAGCCAGGAATGCCGGAGCCGGCTGGGCAAGGGCGTCCCTGACTCTGGCCGGGGTCCCGCTGTTAAATTTAGGTTGGAGGAGCCTTTTGTGTTTCCTTCTCTCCCGGTACTTCCCGCTCCCAGCCTCGAAAGTGCTGGATCAAAGCCTGGTCCTAGCTCTACCCAAACACATCTCTCCTGTTCCCCGCACGGAGCCAGCCCAGGGCAGGGGGGCTCGGGGGCGGCGGGGGGAGCCGCGACTCTGTCCTGGCACCCGCCCGGCTCGAAGCCTTGCCAGGACGATAGGCAAGGCGGCGCAGAGCCACGTGCTGGCACGAGGGTCCCCGAGCCCCGCGAACCCCCTGTACCTGGCGTCCTGCGGCGTCCGGCGGGACCAAGGCCAGGGGCGAGGGCGGCGTGGGACCCGCTGCCCCTGGGCTGGGCGCGCAGAAATGAGCTGGGGCAAGGGCAGCGATGGGATGGCGGCCGGTGGCCCCCCTTCCCCGTGTACGATTCTTATTCAAATGGGCTGCTCGCTGAAAGGGACGGCGGTCTCCAGGCTACGGGAATGTCACTGCCGATTCCTTCTGCCTGGAGGCCCCCGCCGCCCGCCCGCCCGCGGAGGCCAGGCCGGCCAGGCGTCGGCAGCCCGGGCACGCCCCGGCCCCCGGGCGGCACGGTGGGCCCCGCCGGCAAACAAAAGGGCGCCTCGTGGGCTGGCGAGCCAGAGGCACCGCGTTCCCTGGGCTCCCGGCACGGCGCGGCAGGAACGTGCCTGCTGCCACTGGCAGTGAGGCGTGGGGGCGGCATGGTGAGATGGGCGCCTGATGCTCCAGGAACCGGCGGGTGCAGCCACACAGGGGTCACTGCACCATTCTTTGCCCCACCTGGGGATGTCCCACAGCGAAGACACCAGCACGGCTCCGCTGCAGGGTGGAGCCGTGCAGGGCATCTGCTCCACCAGGAGCTCACCCGGGTACGGCCACGATGCTGCCGGATGGGAACGTCCCTCCCAAGGTACCTGTACCTCCCCACTGCCGCAGCTCCCTGGGCAAAGTCCGGCACACGTCAGCCATAGGAAACGCATGGCAGGGGTGGGGGTACCCAGCCTGTCACTGCCAAGGCACCCCGCAGCCCCTTCCTTGTGTGCTGCCTCTTGCCAGTTGCCAGCACCCAGCCCGTGCCATGGGGCTGTGCCGTGTGCCAAGAGCTGTGCCATGCCTCAGAGCTGTGCCGTGCCCAGGGTCTCCCCTACGGCACACCGGCTCCTACCTGTGCTCGTGGGAGCCTCGGGTGCTGGGCAGGTGTCTGGTGGCCCGGGTGGGCTGCGGAGTCGGAGGCCCGCTGGGCTCGGGCTGGGCTCGGGCTGGGCTCAGCTGCTGTTCCTGGAGGAGGGCGGCCGGTGCCTGTCTCCTCCTCCGGCAGCCGTGCCAGGCGAGGGGAGGGACCTGCCCGCACCGAGCTTCAGCCAAGGTGAGGCAGAGGAAGGTATACGCTGGCGGTGGCCCACGTGTGACACAGCAGTGTCCTGTGCCTAGGCTGGTCGGGAGAAGGCACAGCATTCCCACAGGGCTGCTGCGCCCGGTTGTGCAGCACGTGGGGCCGCTGAGACAGGCAGCCTGGCTGGGACTCGCCCTGCACTGCACAGGCCCGTCTGTGCCTCCTCAGGGCACATCTCTAGCAGCGGTGCCGAGAGCCCTGCACTGCACTACCCCAGTACCCATGCCAGATGGATCCTGTTAAGGCCCAGTGCTGGCAGTGTGGACACCACCATGCACCACTCACCCTGTGCTGGTCGGTGCTGCCTGGGATCCTCTGGACTGGCTGGGCTAGGTGCTCAGCCAGCAGCCCTGGAGCCCTGCAGGGAGCACGGCTGTGCACCAGGGCCGGGTTCCACAGAGATCTCACTGTCACGTAGGGATAGTGCCTTTTATTAGCCGAGGCTGAAGGAAGGAAGAGGAACCGTCTGCTCTCCACACCAAGGCCATGCTCTGGCTGCCCGCCGCCAAGCAAGGTCATGGGCAGACAAAGAAGCAGCTCTCGGCCATAGGGATGCCAAAACCCACACCCCCAGGGACACCCTGAGACAGCCAGGCACCTCAGCAGGACAAGAGATGCTGTGGGCAGTGCCCTACCAGCTCCCCATAGCCATACAAGGCACTTGGAAGCCTGAAAGAGGGGCCAGGCTGTGCCCGGCGAGGCTCCAGCAGTGCAGGCTGGTGGTCAGACACCACCACCACTTTCTGAGCCGGGAGAGCTGACAGGAGATGAGCTGACAAAGTGCTATTAGCACTGGCCAGGGTGTCTATGTCAAGGGATCTTGCCAAGCAAACCTTATCTGCTCCAAGGAGATCCAAAGAGGCCTGATAAAGGCAACTGTAACAGGATCTCTGGCCTTGAAAAGCGAAGTGGGAGGAAGGGATCCTCAGTGGGATGTGAGGAACGAGAGAGCCCATGTCCAGGCACCTCCCTGAAGGCTGCTCTGACTTCCCATGCCAAGCTGCAATCCCCTCGTCTGCCCCAGAGCTGAACGCGTGGGTGTGGTCCGGGTTTGCCCGGAGAGATGGCCTGTCCGGGGGCAGCTCCATTGGCTGAAGATCTGCCAGCAGCTCTCCCCTCCGTCACCAGCGTTTCAACGCTGCCGAGCATCCCCCGCTTCCTCGGGCGCCCACAGCCTCGCTCCCCCAGCACCTTTCAGCAGCGATCGGGGCACTCCTGTAGCAGCACAGAGGCCCCCCCTCCCATCCTCAGCAGAGCCCCTGAGCTGCAGGGGCAGCCTCTCACTCCTGGCCAGCCCTGCTTGGACCGACTTCCGTGCGCACAGCAGGCAGCCCGAACATCCTTAGTGAGCAAAGAATTACTTAACCACTTCCCTTCTCAAGGAATGAGCTCCAGCACGGCACCAGAGCTGCTGTCTGCCCAGGGCCACAGTCCCACCACCATTAGTGCTGGGTCAGCGCACTGACAGCCCTGTGGCACAAACTGGATCCAGATCGCAAACCGTGGAACAATGGTGCTTCTGTTGAATTAGCCGGCCAGAGGGTCCCGGATGCAGAGTGGGCAGATTCCGAGAGAAGCCGGAGAGTGGGCAGGCAGGCTGGGGCTGGCACAGCACCTGCTAGCACAGTGTGCATGTTTCTAGGAATTAACCAGGAATGCGGATTTATCCCGGTTCAGCACCACTGACACACATCCGGGGTATTTCCTACCCCAAACCAGGCAATCCTTAATGGAGTTTGAGTAATGCCAAACTTCCCTGGGAGAACTGGGGAGACGAGCTGGGGGTGTGGTCTGCAGCTGAGCGTGCCCCATGCAGCATGCAGCCGCCGGGCACACGGGAGACACCGTTCCATGGAGCTGATACAGAGCTGGGAGCAGGAGCCCAGGGAGGAGCAGTCTGTCAGAGCCCAAAGAAAAGCTGGACACATTGGGTGGTTCTGAGCACCATTTTACTGAAGGGCTGGACACCTGCTAGGACTTCATAACAAAAAGTTCACTTCATTTAAGAAAAAAGACAGTCTGTTTTTTGTCCCATTCCCTTCCAAAGAGTGGAATACTAACGCTGTCTTTTCACTAAACAATGCCATTCCAAAATATACAACATGAAGTGTGGAACAGCCCAGCTTCATATTAACATTAAATATTATTAGAACTTCAGAAACATTCTACACAAACAAATGAAATGGTAAAAAGTTCACTCAAGAACAAGATGGTCATTTGTAAAATCATCATACAAAGTTTGTTACTCGCCCTCCTACGAATTGCAGTTGCTGCTCCCCAGAAGTTGCTTGGGATGCCCAAACACCAGGGAATGCCACAGCGGAGCCGGTGGCTCTGGTCTCAGCCGGAGCAGGTTGGTCATGCCGTGGCGCGGAGACGGCTCTCACGGAGATGCTGGTTGGCAGAGAGTAGCACAAGCAGCCGGGCAGTGCCCACCCAGAGCCCCTGTGTCACTCAGAGCAGCTGCCATGCCTCTGCTCAGGAAATGCTACTCCTCAGAAGTGCTGCACCAGGACCCAGGAGGAGGGAGGGCATCATATGGTGCCTTCCCCACCATAAACACCCACCCATACTTATTTTGTCCCAACCTAGGCCTGGGCAGTGCAGCAGAGCAGGGGCAGGAGGGGAGGTATTTCTGGGGGTAGCTTTGCAGCACCTCTTTTAAAACAGCAGCATGTGCCTGACTGTGTCTGTGGGAATCACCAGACACTCACAGGGGCTGCCTGTAGCCACAGGAACACAGGAACAGAAAGGGCTAATTAAGACAATAAGGAGAGAGCCCCAGAGGGTAATAAGGCCTTTAAGGGACTCCCTGGGGAAGGTATTTTGGAGGCCATGTGAGCAGTGCCAGATTGTGAGACTGATGAAGGATGGAAATGAAGGGTTGGGGGGGTGCCTGCTCCAAAAAGACTCCAACTCACCTGCACCACCAGTGCCTGTGTGCTGCTGCCAGGCAGGGCAGAGGAATCTCTGTGGCCAGGCAGGGATGGAGGGAAGACAGTGCTGCGGAATGCCAGAGCCTCTGCTCCTCTGTTTGCACATCTCCTGCAGCAAACACAGAAGCTGCAGGCTGCTGGCTGTCCAGGTGCTGCTAGCATCTTTAGCTTTCCCTACTCTCAGCTTCTCACTTTTTCACCAGACTTCCTTGGTGTTCCTAAGCAAAGGGAGGGGTCTGGCCTCAGCACCATGGCTTTGGAACAAACAGCTGCTGGCCAACCTGCAAGATCCAGCAGTGTCAGACCTACAGACATGCTTCATTCCACACTCAGGGATGACCTGGTGACAAAGGTCATCCTGGCCTCTCATGTCTTCTGCAACAAGATTCCTCTGAGGCACCTGGTACCCTCCTAATAACACCCAGCTCCAGGCAAAACAGGCTGCAAGGAGAGGGAAACCCTAGCATGGTGCTCTCTAGTGGAGTCTCAAATGTGATGGCTCAGGAGCATCCTGCCCTGCTGTGTCCACCACAGATTGTACCAGCCCACCCAGGTGGCAAAGCTGAGGGCTGCGCATCATCAGGAAGGTGCCAGATACCCCAAAACGGCTGTCCTCTCCATGGGCCATCTCAGCTTCTGGAAGGCCATCCCCATCTGAGCACAGGAGCAAAGAGGCCAGTGCCCATTTTGAAGGGTGAAAAAGAAACTGTCACTTCCACACAAACCAACCATCCTGGCTGAGCAGCTGGTGCTCCACAGCTCGGCACCGACCCTGTCAACTGTGGCCAAAAAAAGGATTCTCCCACCGAAACCTGCCCTCTTGCCTGGGAAGCTGCCCAGCTCAAGTCACACTGCCCAGCTGGAGCTGAAAGACAAACCTGCTCTCCCTACCCAGGGATCCCTTGAGCCATGGCCAAAGGCCTGGCTCCTAGACAGGGCAGGGAACTTGGATCCAAAGGGGAAGAACTGCTGGGATGGCTGAACATGCTGGCAAGTTCTGGCCATGAACACAGCTACAATTAAAAGGGCACAAACTCTGTGCTCAATTCCAAAACCCAGAGTCTCCCAGCCCCTCTTGCCACAGCTGGAGCTGGGGTGAAGTGCTCCTGGTGCACCAGGAGGACCTGGAGGACAGGCTGCAAAACACGGGCAGGTGGGGAGCAGGACCACGGAGCCACATGAGCAGCCATCACCAATCTGTGCTGTCCTGCTTCAGATTCCCCTGCCATGTTCTCAGTGGGCAACTGGCTGAACTCCATGCAAGGTAGCACCAGGCAATGGGGGGAACCCCAGCCCTGTTAGTATGAACTGGTCTGAGAGCTGTCCCGTGAGGTGAGCACTCCAGGGAGCACATCTCCTCCACACAATGAAATACCACTTGTGGGCTGCCAAGCAGGAGTAACAAAATAATCCTTCTTATTTTGCAAAAAAGTGCTTAAGAAATTCTGTACAAGGATTGCTACAGCAGCTGGCTCAGGAGGGATGCAAATAGTTTAGAAGCAGCAGCAGCAACACACTACATGGCTTGCAGGGAAGAGGCTGAGGAGAAACTTCTACAGCCATAAGCAGTGGCAGATGGTGAAATGTGATCACAGTGGACATGAGCTTCAGAACATTTCTACCAATTAACATTGTGATTTCAACTGGTATCTTATGTCAGCTTCCCCTTCAGCTGCCTGCTGGACAAACTACTCTCCCCATGGACCTTGCTGACGGACATCTGAAGCATGCAGGAAGCTCAAGAACCTTGTCTGGTGGAGGGGAAGCATAAACTGCTTCTTGGCAGCTGAATAAAAGGAGAAATTATTTCCAAAAAATCAGTTGGAAGAACAGCCCTTTGACCACTAGCTGAATTGTTTCTAGAAATGACAGTGGCACGAATCCATGCATTAAAAGCATTCCTAGGAGAGACTCCAAAGCTCTCAGCTGTCACAGTGCCCAGAACAACACAGGCCAGGTTAGGCACTTGGATGAATTCAAAGTGACTAATACAGAAACAGGTCTGAACAAGGTGCATACCACATGCTCAGCAGAGACCACAGTGCTCTGGGCAATGTATTTCTATGGGCCCTGCCAGTTACCGTTGCACAGATCCCTGGAAGTGTTACTCAGATGCCAGTGAATAACACAGGATGGAAGGGACATATAGGGGAGACCTTTGGTTAGATCAGGTTTTAGGTAGCTCTGGTTTGATCAAATCATTCACCTTCCCTAACAGCAGAGAGCAGCATCCACACAGAGCCCCTCTGCAGCCTCGTGCACATCAGTGTTACATGTCCAGGACACCAGGAGCAGCCACACCTGGGCATGAGTCAAAGGACAGTGGAGCCAACCTGTGCCAGACTGAGGTACCCCCTCTGCCAGTATTGGCTGATGGGCAGCAGTTGCTGGCATTGGCACAGAGGCTGTAAAGCCCCTCTGTTGTTACCTGCAACCCTTTCAGTCAAGCTCCCACAGCATCTGCAAGAGGAAGAAGAGACAACTGGAGGGCAGAGAATGGAGGTCCAGCACTGCCCTGTTGCTCAGGGCCCTGTGGTCTGTTAGAGATGCACAGGAGAACCAACAGAGATGGGACTGGTGATGAGCAAGTCCCTGAGCATACAGCTATGCTCACTTTCCTGGTTGGAGTCTCAGTGACACAGAGGCATTTCCAAAGGACACAGGGCAAGCTGTCATCACCAAGCATGCACAGAACTTAGCTCAGTGCTGGGAAATGCATGGCAGCACTAAGGCTGGATGCTGTGCTGGATGTGTTAAGCAACAGTGCAAGTCAAGTCCTTGACTGGCAGAGACCCAAGCTGTAAAAGAAAAGAGGTGATGGAAAAGAGTGGGGAGGCAGACAGCAGTGCAGCTGGGGGATGACACACAGCAATGAGGATGTGGCCTGGTAAGTTGGCCTCAGGTGCTCAGCTTCCCGCTCAGGCTGGTGGAAATGCGACCTTGACCTGGATTCAGCCTTGTCGATGCACGTTGCTTTTCCCAGCGGAGGCCAAGTGCTCAGCTGGGATGTCTGTGCTGCGTTAGGAGGCTCCAAAGACAGCTCTCAGTGCCCTTATAAGGGTTTGGGAACAGGGGAAGCTGCTGAGCAGCCTGACAGCAATACCACAGGCAGGAGTTCAGAGCCCTCATCGGGAAACAGCCCAAAAGAGAAACACCAGTGCAGGACTTCAAGACCTGGCATTCGAGAGCGTGGGAATGAGAAAGGTCTGAAGGAGTGGGAACAAAAGGAACAAAGCAATTTTTGGCCAGTTGACAGTGATGGAGAGTCCCAGTTCATCCAGCATCAGGTCAGGACAGGGAACTCTCTGCCAGGGCATTTTAAAACACAGAAGCAGAAGAAAATATTTCTTCCTCCTTGGCAGCCAAGCAGCAGCATTCACAGGTCAGTCTTAAACGCTGCAAGTTATGACCTCTGACAGCAACTCAGAACCCAAGTGTGGGGCTCAGAGCTTGCAATCATCCCCTGAATCATAAAATCACAGAAGGGGTTGGATTGGAAGGGACCTTAACAATCACCTCGTTCCAACCAACCTGCCATGGGCAGGGACACTTTCCACTAAACTAGGTTACTCAGTGAAAGAGAACCTCCACCCTGCCCTATGTGAGTGAGAAGAGAACCCAGATGCACCTCAGAATGCTCAACTTCCCTGCCCTCTCACCCTGTCATGAATCTCCTCTCTTCTCTCCATACCACATTCTGCCCTGGGGATCAGACATTGACCCCTTTCATAAACCACTGAAATCCAACCAGGTACTTGGGGGGTGGGGCTTAAATGTAAGGATCTGGGACTCCCAGCTGGGGAGCCCATCCCTTCAGCCAAAGTCCACAGAGATTACTAGGTCAGACAACTGGCATTTTGAGCTGGTGAGAGAATGAGTGGATTACACTACTGCTGCAGAGATCTGAGCATACAGCAGTATACGGAGCCAGGCCCGTACCCAGCACAATGCCTCTTCCTTTCCCCAGGACACCAGGTTGTCCCTTCCAGGTGACAGCAGCAGCACTAACTGCTCCTACAAGGTGTTTCTCTTGGGTTTAGTAGATCCCTCTCTGTGGAGCACAGAGAGCACAGAGCTGTGTTCCCATCCCACAGCATGCCCATGGTGCAGGGAGGTGACAGCAACTATCTGCAGCAGTTCTGCAGTGCCTCCTGGGGACGGCAGAGCCTGCACTCCTTCCACACAGAGCTCTCACACCTGCCACACACCTTCTCACACATCCCTGATAGCGCAGCAAGGCTGCAACCCACCACAATATAGTGCCCATCTTCCCTCCTACTGCTTCATCTCCACAAACCATAGAAAGTGACTCTCTGTTTATGTCCTCCCAAATTTTTCACTTTTCTACTTTAACTCAAGCTCAGGTGTCCCACTGAGGTCTGGGACTGGCAGGATGTAGCAAATACATTCAAACACAGCCTGTGTCTCTGTTGTGGTTTAACTCAAGCCAAAACCAATAGTCTTCTCTACCAGCACCTGGAATCTGCTCCTGGAACACTCAGCAACAGCAAAGCAGTTACATGGTGGGCAGGACACTACACAGTTCCTGCTAACAATTCCAGCCCTTTGGCTCTAACAGTCACAGTTCATGATCCATAGCTGCACCTGGGGTATAGGAGAGCAGAGTAATGCTAGGTGCTGAGGAGGAATCCTCTTTGGAGGCAAATCCCTACCATGAGTTCAAAACTTCTGCTACCCACAAAGGGAGGAGGCCCCTAAAGATGTCAGACAGACTTGCAGCCCTGTGACACTCCCCCACTGTTATGCAGAGGTAATACCGAAAACAGGATTAAAACTACCAGCTGGTAATTCTCCAAATTGTTTGGCATTCCGGAGACAAACAAGTGGCTACAACACTGCTGCCTCTGAGCTGCTCAAGGGAGCCCAGGACAGACTGTCACAACACTGAACCACAAAGGAATCCTGGCAACTTTCAACAAAAGACTAGCTGAAGGGAAGGAGGAACAAAAGCTATCAAACCCAATCCCAAAGGGATGGAGGAAGTGCATCTTCCCACAGTTCCTGGGCCATATGCACATATATGGATATATAGATATAGACATAATAAAGTTATAAAATTTGATCAAAATAAAACCAGTAAATGTACAGCTTGAAAAAGAGCAATATCACAGTGCATCAATGTAATGAGAAAGTCCTGTGTCCTCCCCTGCACAAGAGCACAGCCTGCCACGTTCAGGGGAGCGTGGTGGGAAGTGAGCTCTCCGGCCTGCTTAGCTTGATGCTGGCTGGAGTGACGGTCCCACATTCCCAAACAGGGTTCTGGATTTCTGCAGCCAGTTCTGCACAGCAGTGGCAGACAGGCAGGAACAGCACAAGAGTGGGCGGCTGTGTCTGCAGGTTAGTTGGCATATTGGCACCAGAGACACAGAGTCACTCCTAAATCTCTCTGTGCTCTGGTGCCAGGCTTACATTTACTTACTTACAAAAAAACGTGACAAAGTGAAGAAAGTCAGGGGACACTATGAGAATGGGACAAGGGCTGAATTTGGATCACAGGGGAGAGGTTGACCCTAAGAATCTTCTGTGCTCTCCTCCTCACTTCATCATCGGAGGAAGAGTTGCCCACCTTGATGGTCCGGAATTTCAGCAGGTTCAAAGTGCTCTGAGCCTGTCGACTTTTCTTTCGGACAGGAATGGTATTTGCTTTTTTCCTCTGTGGTGCTTCTTTTGCCTCTGTAGCTGTTCTCTTCTTCTGCCCAGTGCTCTCCTGGTAAGTGCTGCGGTCCTTCCATGTTTTTCCCACCAGAGCTTCCTTATCTTTGATTTTCAAGGTCTTGGGCTGTGGTGCTGTGGTGCAGTCCTGGGATGAGCTGCCTGTGACTCTCCCGTTGAGAACTCCAGAGGCTTTGCAGGCATTGCTCTCCTGCAGCACTCCACCCTTTGGTCCCTTCAGAAGGTTTAAAGCGCACGTGGCAGAATCTGGTGCTTTCTTAACCAAACGCTTGTACCCCTTGCCTTCGGTTATTTTAGTGCTCTTGCCTGAAGAAAACTGCCTTGGTGGACTTGAAGTCTTAAGGAGTTTAAGGTCTGAGGGAGAGATCCCAAGATGCCCTTGTGTGTACTTGGACTCCAAACAGGATGTTGCGGTTTTCAGTGGCACCAGGGCTTCCAGGACCACTGACAGTCTCATAGCTGGATACACGTCAGGATACATGCTTGTAGGAAAGCCCACTGCCGCTGCCTTGGATGTGCCAGATCCTGTCTGCTTCAAGGAGCTCAAGAGGAGATTTGTGGAATCCCCTTTGGACACTGGTTGACTGGAGACTTTCAAAGAGCTCACTGGAATGCTGGTGGGCAAAGGGGCCACTTTTGCCACTGAGTTCCTGGCTGGACTCTGAGCGGGCTCAGTGGTGCTGGCACAGTTGCACTGTGTGTTTCCTTCTGTCTGACTCGGTGTGACAGCTGTGCACGAGCTATACCCGTACACATCCTTACTCCTCAGAATTGTGGGCTGGTAGCCCTCCTCCTTTAGGCCTTGGATGAAGGCCACCAGCTGGGTCTCTGTGTCTGAAAGGTCCTTGGACATCGGGTTGAAGACTCGGAGGGCTTCCTCCAGCACTTTCTGTCCTGCAGAGGAAATTCTTGACCAGGAATGGACAGCTTTTTCTTCCTCATTGTTCACTGCAATATTCATGGCATTAGGCAAGCAGGTGCTTCAAAAAGGTCCAAATTACTGGAAAAACAACCCTTGACACCTCAAAAGGAGAAAGAAGACAGTTAGCTTACAGCAACTGAAATTACCCAAGTTTCTAGTACGGGACCTGAAACCATTAAGCCCAGGCGTGGATGGTTGCATTGGGTCAAGCCAAGATAGAAGTATCATCAAGAAAATCCTGTCACTCATTTATCTCTGAAATAAAACTAAAACATCTCTCACAAAAATATCCTCCAACCTAAACAAAGATTTCAGGAAATCACATCCAATCCACCCCAGGATGAAGGACTCCAACAACTAAATCAGCAAAATCTGCAGCTCGTTTTCAGTTTGAGTTTGACCCACCCTAGCTTTGGATAACCAGACCTCATTTTCCCTGGGAAAAACTGAACCCTTCCCCTGTACACACCATCGAGCCATCTCAACACCAAGAAATGCCTAGCACTTCAATGGCATCCCAGCACCACCTTCAATTTCTCAGCTTAACTGATGCTGCTCAAAAATTGATTCTGAGTCCCTGCCAAAGCCACAGCTTCCTCCTGGAGACCTGGCAGCAGGGCTGGAGGCTGTTCCAGTTGTGCTTCATTGATGCTGAATGCTGTGGCAAGGCAGCACTGCTCCTTGCTGTTCCCTTGTTTGAACAACGGTCCACAACTTGCTGTCACAGCAAACTGTTGATCCAAGGACACTTGCTGCCAAGTGAGGAGGAAGCAGGAAATTCAAGCAGGGCGGTATGAAGGAAATACACATCACCAGGGCCAAGTGTACAAAGGCCTGAGGGACAACACTGGGATCACGGTCAGGGCACTGCGCAGCTGCCTGCCCAGCATAAAAGCATCAATTATTGCTTTCAACAAAAAAATAGGCAGTCCGGGCAGGAATTTAGGATGCACCCAGGAGAACTCTGATCCTGGTGGCCTCACAGCTCCACAGCTGGGTGCTAGACCAACATGGCATAAAATCTTTAGTTTTATTGATACTTCTCAAAATAATAATAAAGATTCATTTTCCCCGTTCAGGGAAATGCCAGAGGTGTCAGAGTTTTGGAGAGGGCAGTGCACATGCAAGGAAGCTGTGATGGAGAAGTTAGCGCCTGAGCAGACAGAACAAGGAACTACTCATGTCCCATGTTCCCCCCAGAACTCTGGTCTCACCACAGCCTAGGAGCAGAGCCCGTGCTGCCACCAGCTGCACAAGCAGGGAAGAGACACAAGCCAAGAGCAGCCACAGAAGGGAAAGCACAGGTCAGTGGGGGAGTAAGAACCTCCACATGACAGACTAATCTCAGTCAAGTGCTTTGCAGACGTCATGGCCAAAGAGGGATTTGGAGGAGGATAATGCAGTTGTTCAGAGGCAGGCGGGGGATCTCCCACGAAGGAGGGGAGGCAGGCAGGGAAGCGATTCCCACAAGAGCCCCAGCCAGCGTCACCAGCCAGCAGTGAGAGTCACCACCTGCAAAGTGACCAAGCAGTGCCAGGCACAGGAACGCCAGAGAGGGTGTAATGTTAATTCTGATCTAGTAGTGAGGCAGAGACCAACGAAGAAGCACAAGTAACGACATGTGCTCAACAGGCTGCAAAATGGATCATCTTCAGGCTGCATCAAGCCCAGGAGCAGCTGGGACATCTGAAAAGGTTGATGTTATGGCTGTGTAATTTCATGGGGACAGGACTTTCCAACATCCATCCACTTGGTCCTGTTTGGTCCAGTATCAGCTGTATTGGAGGAAAGGCAGCCACGAGCAGAGGCAGCCCCGGACGGTCTGTCCTCCCGACAGCAGGTTCCCTCACGTGGCACACTACTGGGGGGCCGGGGGGCTACGGGAGCACAGCACTCCCGGCACGGTGCAAGCACAGCACCGGAAGGGTGATGCTGGCACGGTTTAGAGGCCCGGCTGTCCGAGCACGGAAAGGGCTCTCCGAATGCACCGCAGAGAGAAGCGGCTGCCGACAGGGCCGAGATGCGGGGCTGGAGCAGCCTGTAGAGCTGGAGGCCGGTGCGCAGTCCCAAGGAGGGCTCGACGTGGCCGCCAGGTCCTCGCTCAACCTCTCCTTTTGGCCCGTCCCTCGGCGCAGGCGATGGCCCTTCCCGAGCGCCCGTCCCTCGCTCCCGCTGCACCCTCCCCAAGGCTCGGCCCGCCGGCCGGAGGGACCCCGGGCTGGACAGGCCGCCTGGGCTCTCCCTGCGGGGCTACGGGAGGTGATTGGTGCAGACAGGGGGTGCGGCCCCCGCGCTTGGCCCGCGCCGGCTCCCGAGACCGGGGGGGCGGGGGCCGGGGCGGGGCCCTCAGCGCCACGGCTCCGCCTCCAGCGCACCAAGGCCGCCGCAGCGGGCGGCTCGGCAGCGCCCTCGCCCGGGAGCCGGCGTGGGACCCGGGCCCGCCGGCCCCAACCTACCGGCTGCCGCCAGACCCGCGCCCGCCGCTGCGCCGCACCCGCCGCTCCAACATGGCCGCCCTCGGGGCGCCGGAAGCGCCGCCCGCTTCCCCTTCCGGTCGCTTTCCGCGGGCCACGGCCACGCCCACAGTCACGGAGAGTATTCGGTCACGCCCCCCGCCCCGCCCCCGCCGTGTCCGTGGCAACGGCGGCGCGGGTCGTCCCCTGGCCGGCAGGGGGCGCCGCCGGCGGAAGCGGAGCGGGCGGAAGCGGCGCTGTCACCAGGTAACGGGGTCGGTGTCGGGGCGATGAGCGGCGGGGCCGGGCGACGGCGGCGCCTGGTTCTGCACGTGGACCTCAACAACACGGTGGTGGCGGCGGACACGGTGACGGGGCAGGCTCCGCGAGCGGCGCTCAACACCTTTCTCAGCACCGTCACCTGGGGCCGCGCCGGGGCCGCCGGTGAGCGCCGGGGCCAGGGTACGGGGGACGCGGTGTGGCGGTGGCGGGGGCTGAGCACGTTCCTCTCTTCTAGGCGAGTGGGAGTGGGTGAGCGACCGCCCGTCCCTGCGCCCCCCGTGCCCCGGCGCCCTCAGCTACTACAGCCGCCACGGCCGGGACCCCGCGTTCACCGAGGCCGGCCCGGGCCGGCACTTCCGCGACCTCCACGCCCGCCACCTGCGGTTGCTGGAGTGGCCGGGCCGGCCGCAGGACGCCTTGTCGGTGCCAGGGGAGCCTGGCAAACGCTACCACCTGATCCTGCCCTCCTTCTTCCACCTCCTGGACACGCTGCACCGCGATGGCAGGGCCTTCGCCATTGTCTTCAGGACCTTCGGCACCGACCTGCCCCGCGTCCTGCAGGCCGTCAGCAGCGCTCTGGACGGGCAGCACCCCCAGTTCCCTGCCCTGCGGGACGTGGCGGTGAGTGGCGCCCTGAGGGTCCGTCGTCATGGGGAAGGGCAGCCAGATGGTCCCACGGAGTCCCCCCCACGTCAAATTGCTCTCCAACTGCTTGACCAGACTGCTTTTAAAAGCATCGAATTCTCTGGATGGAGCTGTTAGCTGTGGGGGAGCACGTGTGTGCAGATCCTATGTGGAATGGTCTCCTCTTGGAGGATCCCGTGTTGGACAGAGCATATCTTCTCCCAAGGAGGGGCTGCTGCAGCAGAGCAGGGCTCCCTGGCCCAGAGCCGATCACAGCTGCAGTTTCCTCCCACTGGCAGTACACTGGGCAGGAGCGCTGGGAATGAGCTTTAGAAGATGCTTTAGTTATTCTTTGGAGTATTTCCAGGTAGCAGAGATTGAAATGGGGGCAATGTGCAGCTAGGAGGTCATTCCTTTCCATCCCTGGGGAGGGGATGATTTTTGTTTGAATGCATTCCATGCCTCCTCTTGTCATCTTCCCAGCACTATCTTCCCACTGTGGTGGTGGGGAGTCTCCACCCTGCTGCTTGGTCTGCCAGTGTGTGAAATAACCTGTCTGCTTTGGAAACTTTTCCTTCCCCATTTTCTGTGGTCCTGCAGCTCCCTGTGGACCTTACCCCTGGCCAGATACGCTGCAGCAAGCGAGAGGTGGTGCTAACACAGGGTGCAGAACGTCTGGCCACACGGGAAGACAGAAGAAAGCTTTACAACTATTTCAGCTCCTTTGAGGGAATTGGAGGCTTCCAAGACCACTTTGACTGGTGAGAAAAGAGGTCATCAAGGAAGTAGATTGGGCATTATCTTCTTTCCTGCAATTCTCTTAGTTTGTGGGATAGCTCATAGTTTTGAAGCCTTGTTGTTGGGGTCCCTATCAGTTAGGCAGTCCCCATATTGCCTGTGGGCAGCCTGATGGGACTCTCACATTTTACCTGAGGTCCCCATCCCCTGGTGTACCTCCTGCTTTTCTCCAAAGACTCCCTGATTTGTCACGTTGATGCAAAATGCCTCATTCCTAGGAGGCCATGGGCAGCAGGACAGGGCATCCTCTGTCCTGCATCCCTGGCTCAGAGGGTGCCCCGGGCCTGCAGTAGTCTGCCATTATCCAGGAGTTGTTACCGTCTCCCTCCCCTGACTGTTTCTTCTCCTGCTTACTGTTTCAGGTGGGCCAGAAATCAGTTCTCTTCCCAGGGTGGGAAGCCCCTGTGGATAGATCCTCATGATCCTGACATTCACCACATCTTCATTGATGACAACATCCGGCTGGATGATGGAGACACCATTGTTCACCCCCAGGTAGGTGGCTGAAGGCCCAGCAACCTGCACTAGGGGTGTCCCTGCAAGCCCAGACATATTTTGTCCCCTTTGCATGAGGCTACAAAGGGAGGTCAAGGCATAGCCCTGGTATCACTACATCCTGTGCCACCAGTGTCGGTGGCAGCGATGCACAGGGAGGGTGAGATCAGCTATCAGCAATGCACAGCAGGTGCTGGCTGCCTCTGCTCCCCACTGAGTCAGCCCCGTGCCTGGAGGCAGCAGCAATGATATCAGGGTTGCCAGCCCTGTCACCCATCTGAATGAAAGGGCAGTGTTAGTGGGGAACACACTTGGCCAACAGAATGTTTATGCAGACAGAACTGTGACTGGCCGTTGGACAGCTGTCAATGCTCAAACAAGAGCTGCAAGTCCATGAGTGAGCCTCAACCCTTGCCTGTTTCCATCCATATGGAGACAGTGCAGGGAGAAAATGCAGCAGCCAGTGAATTGTCTGCAGTGTTTGCCTGGGAATGGCAAGGGATGGGATGCTCATTGGATATTCCCTTCCATACAAGCTCTCGCAACTTGCACATTTTTAGCTGGTGGCAGGAATTGTTACTGCCTGGACAGACTTGTCAGGAATAGGTGGCTTTGGTCTGTGCCATGCCTGGTTGAGGGGAGCCTCTGCAATGACTGCTGCATACAGATTTGCAGCAGCTGGAGCGTGGCTCACACAGCTTCACTTGCTGTGTTTCAGCCTCAGGCTATCTGTCTGATCAAGGAGTTCCTCCTTTGGCATTGGTAGCCTGTGCAGCTGGTCGGTCAGGCTGCTCTGCTAATCTCATGGCAGCCATGCAGCCAGCCCTGGGGCTGCTCCCACGCTGGATCACACAGGTAGGATCCAGTTATAGTAGCAGCAGACATTATGGGAGTCTGGGCAGCAGCCAAGCATCTTCCCGGCAGGGCTCATCGTCACTGCTGGGACCTTGCTGTCCTGCAGCCAGGATCAGTAGGTGGAATGCCATTCTTCTCTCCTCTTGCACCACCAGTTCTGCAGGGCTGTCCCCATGTCAGTGATGGTGACAGAGCAGCACTAGGAGTGAAACAGATTGCCACCTGGCTTTAAGCAGGCCATGGCAAAGATCAGAAGGTGAAGGCCCTGTTCTGTCCTGTGGTAGCTAAAGGAAAAGCTATCGGCAGATGTTTGCCTGGACTCAGCTGCTCCACAGAGTTGTTTTCTTCCAGATGCATGGTGTGGCCTGTTTCCTTAAGGAAACACCAGGCACATGTGTGACATGCTGGTTCAGAGTCAAAGGCGCTTTCTGGGAGAGGGGAAAATCTCAAGAAACTTCACCTTCTGCTGTTGCAGTGGAGATAGGATCACCCTGCCCTCTGTCCTCAGCACACAGCCAGCATGGAGGCACCTGGCTGAGGGGAGGGCAGGGCACACCATGGGGCATGTACATTGCTGCCAGGCTCTGCTCTATCTGCAGGTGTTCTCGGAGCAGGGCAGCAGCAGTCCCAGGAGTGTGCCCACCTCGGAGCTGTACAACATTTGCCTGGTGCAAACCAATCTGCTGGAGGCCATTGCTGATGAGGACTATTTCCTGCGCTGTGTGAGGAGGTGCGAGGAGAACTACGACCGCTACCTGGCCTGCATGAAGAAGGACACCCCAAGCCAGCAGTGGGATGGACAGTGATATCACCTCATGGGGCAGAGTGGCTCCAGACTGTGACACCACCCGCTTCCTGCTGCATGCAGGCAAAGTCCCAGGCGGGCTCCTGCTTCAAGCTGTTACCTCTCCAATGTGCAATGTGGGTGTTCAGTCCTATCAGGAGCTTCCATGAGCAAACACAAGCATCCTGGGAGCTTGTGTGATGGGATTCTTGGAGGAAATGGTTTTCCATTCTTTGGCAGCATTGCCCATGGTGCTCGCTTCTGCATGAGGGCTGGGGCTCACCATACCCCAGCAGTCGCCAGGCAGGTCCCTTCCACCAAACTGTGATGCAGGCAGCCTCACAGTGTTCGCATCTTCCTTCCCGCTCCTGCAGTGATGGTTGGTGCAAAGCAGGTGCCAGGATGAGTGCAGTATTATCAGCAGCATCCCCAGGTGGCATTTGTGGTGCGGTGTTCTCGGCGGATGCCTTGTCACTTCTGTCTGTTTTTAAAGCAAATCTTTTTAGATCATTTCTGTGTGAGTTTCCTGCCTGCCCTTGGCTCTGCCTGTGCTGGTGGGTGGGAAGCGCCTTTCCCAGCGTGTTCATTTGCCTGGCTCAGCCAAGTGGGGACAAAAGTGTTGGTGGAGGGTTTTAGACCCATGTGCACCTTTCCTGATGCTGCTGAGAGACCCCAGCAAGGTCGTGCTCAGAATAGGGCTGAGCTCATGTTCTGTCCCTGCAGTGGTGACAGCATAGGGGTTCTCTCCAGGATAGGACGGTGGGTTCCCGACTCCTTGAGCCCAGCACTGTGTGGCTCTGGCACCGGCAGTGTGCAGCAAGGGAGGGCAGAGCCAGGGTCTCTCCAGCCCCTCTCTCTGCGATGGTTCCTTCCCGGCCAGGTGAACGCGGCAGGGGCACGGCGGGCCGGTGGTACCGGGAGGGCCGGCCGGAGGGGAGCGGGGCATGGCAGGGGGGCCAGGGCGGACGCGGCGCCGCCCCCATCGGCAGCGGGCGGGCCCGGGGCGGGCGGAGGCGCGGAGCGGCGGGGAGAACGGCGGAACGGGGGAAGAGGTGAGCGCGGTTCTGGTCCCGGTCCCTGCCCCTGTCCCGCTCCCGGCGGCGGTGCGGAGCGGAGCGGGCAGTCCGGGCACGGCGGAGCGGCCGTCCGGGGTTGCGGGCGGGAGTCCGGGGAGCGCTGGGGGCGCGGGCGTTGCAGCGGGAG